TTATAAGAGTGTCTAAAACTTTATTTTAAATAATTACTAGCTTCAAACGGCTTAAACTTGTTTAATTTAAACGGAATACTCTGTATAGTGTCTATCAATTTTATTATACTTGCAAGAGTCTTCTCTAGCCGCTCAAGAGGGATGGAAAACAACGATACAATAACTAAAGAATACATAATCAATAATACAAATAGAAATATATAGATAAAAAAAATAGAATACAAATCGTCGGTTTACAAGCAAAACACACTAAGTGCAATTATTTTAATTTTGATTTATTTATATCATTTGACTAGATTTCTTCCAGAATATAGATCTATATCCAGGAAAAATCTACTATACCTTATAAGAATTATTTGTTTAATTTTTAAATTACTTTCATATTCATAAGTCCCATAATGGCTCTATATAAGTTATATCCCATACAGCACGTCCAAATAAAATTACGTTTTTACAAAGGAGACACATGAGGAACAAAATATGTTAAAGTGAACCTAAGTGTTCATCTAGTTCTAATATATACATATGAGATACACGCAGGTTTATATTGATAGAATTGTGTGATACAGTGTTTACTAGTTGTATACCGTATGCACTCAAAATTCTAAAGAGTTTTTTGTAACGTAACAAATAATTATTAAAATGATGAAATCTGACGTCGGTATATAAGATATACAATGTATAAGTCATATGTATGTGTGATACTTCGTATCATAGTTGTGCCTATAGTACACACCTTGTAAAAATGTGACGTATACACATAATATATAGACACTTTGTAATAGTTTACTGTTGTGTCTACATTCTAGCATGAAATAAAGGTGTGCGCACGCGCGGATAGCCTCAGCGTAGATACACCGACCAAGTGTATCTTATGTGTCCTCTCTCCTTTCTCCTTTCTAGGAGTGGTATGTGTTAGCAGCCATTATTGTTTATCATTCGGAAGCTCTATATAAATGTTCTGTTTGTGTGTAGTTTAAATGAGATTTTAAGGTAAGCACAAGTTTTTAATTACCTTGTTATACCTTCCTAGTAAGGGAAGAGTCGCTGCTATAATATTAATAATACTCTTATTATTAATATTATAGCAGCGACTCTTCCCTTACTCGATACCCAATTTACCAAATTTTGACTCCAATGAATGAAAACTCCAAATATTCTCGTATAATGATAAAGAGGTTAGCTCTGCAATATAATTGTTTGCTATTTTAGTGTTTACTATTTTATTATGTTGTTATACTAGGTACTTATATTTTTAATACATTTTATACAAATTCTGTTCTTTTACAGTGTTTTCTTACTTCTGGTTTCTGCAGTGTAAATAATTATTATTATTGTGTTATTTGCGATATTGCGTTTCATGATATAAAGAAATATAAGAATTTTATTTTTTAACCACTTAATCCATTTTATGGAAGAAAAGTGGTACATTTAATACAAAACAAAAATGGAACAATTTTAAGGCTACTTCTCTTGAACTTACGATCGAGATACTTTTGGAAAATACAAAGTTTTGCCTTCCTAATTTTCGTTCTAAAAAGATATAATTGGTGTCATTGAATAAATATTTCTTAAAAAGAACGAAACGTTAGGCATCAAAACTTGTATTATTTCCTAAATTCGTTCATAAGAAGTAGTTTTATCTAGCACAAGATGTATATACGAAGCAAAATATATACGTATACACGCGGTAGTCACAACTGCAATGTGTAAACAGAGTTTAAACGTAATACACAAGCACTGTGTATCCTACGGCACACTGTGTATCCCTTACTTTGTGTATACGTAAATGGTATACTGTGGCTACATTGTGAGGCAGACGTTTAACCTTTGTGCATACGTGTTGAACTACAATGTGTAAAGGTAGCATATTTACATCGGGGGAATTGTGTCACCCTGTGTCTACGTCTAATAATGTAAACACATCGTAAATGTGATTTGATGTGCTGTATGGGATATTATTATAAAAAATATATTCGTTTTTGGACTTAGTGTGTTTTGGTTATACACCGACGAAATAACACCCGAGACCAAATTGTTACCATGGCTCCAAACAGTGCAGTGGTCACATATTTTTCTTAACTTAGATGCTTGAAGAGATATTTATATTTTTGATAAATGTTTTGACTACGCCTATGGTGTAGGCGGTGGTATTATACTACTTAATTACGAAAAAAACGTATTAAAATATTAACAAAAGGTACAAAACTAGTATCGACGTATAGCTCATATTAAGTGCATATAATATAAGAAAAAAATTATCAAATCAAGAAAACGCTAAAAAGGTGGAGTGGACTATTTATTTACCTATGAAAACGTAACTCCTGGCTCTTTCTTATCATTGTGGCGGCTTTTACACTTGAAAGCTAAATACATCACCATTTGAAAAAAAAGTTTATACAAAGTTAAATGCTTGCTTCATCTACGTTACTGTAGATGGAGCTCAAGGCTTGGTAGGGTTTGTACGTATGTGTTTGTTATACAAAGTTCAATGCACGCAACAGACTATTAAAAATCGCCAAATTATTGCTGTTGACGAGCTGGTGTCTCATTCGTAGACTCCAAAATGATGGGGTTCAACAGCAGAAATTCTGCTCCAGCCCGTATATGGGCATTACGCCTCCTTGTATTCCTTAGTCATTGATGTCACCATACGGTGACATAGAAGAAGAAGTCAATTCTTAACGGACGAGAAGAAGAATTCCATTCTCAAATAATTTAACCAATCTTCAGGTTCAAGCACAAGTTCCTTTAATGTGTCTATATCAAGAAACTCTTTTCTTTCCAGAAGCTATTTCTTTGATCACTTTCTTCGTTCCTTTTTAATATTTTTAGATTTTGTGGCTAATGCCGCCGCTGCTGCACATAAATATATTGACTTCATGTAAATAATACAATGTGTTTCAATAAGACTTTTAACAAAACTGCTTATGCGTAAAATCCAGTTCGACGTCTAACAAAACCGCCCAGCAAAAACGCAGTCTGTGGGGCCCTTTATTATGTTTGTTCCAATATTTTTTTTACTCTGAGGATAAAACGCGTTGTTACTATTCATTTATTTGTTTCTAATGACACATTGACTGTACATAAATGTTTTGTAACAATGAGCGTTTCTTCAGGCTTATTTAATTTAATTGCTTTATAAATATTTTTATGGTCATACATTTTAAGACGCAGTTGGACGATGATACACTTTGTAATTAATTCAAAAAGAAATAAATTATTAAAAAGTTTTGCAGTTCTCAGATCGATTGACAAGAAATCTATAAAAAAAATAGTTACTTTAGCAAATGCAAAATTGAATTTATATTGATGCAGTAAAGCTATACATGCTATTTTTAATGCAATAGGTAATGCCAGTTTAATGAAATAGTTAAAGAATTAGAATTAGTATAAATGCTTTGTTACTGCTTTTATAATTGTAGCGTTAGCTACTAGAACAGAATAATATCTTATTCTGTAGAAGAATGTAGAATGAGTGGGAAGTGGGGTTAATCACTGCGACCATAAAGATCTATTTTGTCCCCCTTCCTTGAGGAACTCACCATACAGTCAACCCATCATATATGGTGTAGGGGAGACAGGGTATTTCCCGTATTTTCCATCCTCCTCTGACAACAGAAGCTCCTCCTTCGATGGTATACACCCTTTCTACGGTTGGGGTTTGGCCCTCTGTGGCCTTCATAGTTGCGGAGCTTGTCTCAGGCTGAGGTACCTATGAGGTGGAGGCTGGAGGATCTGTCTCCATTTTCTCCACCTCTTTAACTTGGTCTCTCTTTAGATCTGATACCGGTGTTGTCCCCAATCTATAATTTTATCATTGGATATAAAGTCAATTCCTATATTGTGAGGATCTGACCACGACCCTCCTCCCTCGAGTTGATTGGAGTTCTGAGCCTGGACAAGGCTCAGGAGGTAGGTGATGTCTTTTCCCTTTCTCCTCGGCAGAAAGACCGTGATGGTCACTCCTTTTGAGATGTTTTCTCCCTTCACTGCAACCAGTTCCGGCCTTTGCCAATTCTTGACCTTAGGTGCTGTTTCTACCAACCAATCAGCCGATTCTTGGAAGAATTTTTCGAAGACAATGAGATGCTCCAAAGTACCAGAAGGAATTCCTCTTAGCAACTGACTGAGAGCTTCTCCACCAACGACAAGGTCACGTATCTCCTAGAGGAAGATATTATATATTTATATTCTGTAGCTTCAGCTACTAGTTTCACTTCTGTTCAGGTGCATTTCATCTTCAAATGAGATCAAAATTAGAACCTTTGATTAGGACTGTGGAGGTATAAAATATTTTAGAGTTAAATATATATTTTGGCTCTTTAAAGAAAAATAACAATGTTTCTTTTTAATTTCGTTTGACCATTTGAATTCGATTTTTCTTCTTAGTAAGGTAATCATAAAACGTAATATGAAGTATTAATATGTTTTGGAAAAATACTTATATAGCTTATAATCCTGATTGTAAATATATTATGACTTAGCAGGTTTTTTCCTTATTGTTGCAGCACAGAGAAATGTTCCGTAAGCTACTATACAGGGTGAGTCTTAAATAAGTGCAAATATTTTTAGGGTAGTATTTTTCGACCCCAGAATCTCGATTATGAGGGTTTTTTTCTCGAAAAAAAATTGAAAATTTAGAATTTTTTGAAATTTTTTTTAAATTTTTTTTAGTTTTTAATTAAAAACCATAATTTCTTGATAATATGACAAGATAGGTAATAGATTAAATTTATAAGGAAGAACAAACTCAAACAAAAAATCATTTTTATGGAAATTTTCAAAATAAAATAACTCGTTTATTTTGGACTTACTTGAAAAACGGCAAAGAGAAAATATGTTTCTTTTATCGATATCTACCAGCCCTGAAAATATTTGCACTTATTTAAGACTCACCCTGTTTATGACTATTATTTTATAGACATATCTTATTATTGTAACAAATAATAAACTAACACCATAATAACCTTAATCTACATAAATCTAAAACGACAGTATATTTTGTAAACATCTTTATTTTCACATGGCTATTACAAAGCAACTGAATTTTTCCTTAACCTTGTTTGTTCCAAACTTTAGACTCGCAATGCTCAAGGGCCTGAAAATAAAATACGCATTGGTTATATTAATTTGAAAACAATAGCTCTTTTTTTACTTACATTACAAGAAGTAGCAGTTGCTCTGTCTTGGCACCAATAAGCTGGACCTCTAGTGCATTTGTTGGCTCCTAGCGGCTGGTGCTGAGCAAAAACGGTAGCTAAAATTTTAATCACACATAATTATTTAATTTTTTTAATGTAGTCGGTTCATTGATTGTTGTTTTAAAAGAAATAGTGAATTATTGGATGTTTTATTTAAAATTTAACTTAGATCTTTTAAAATCTAACTTAGTAATTTTTTTCTTAGAATTCTAAATCCAAAAAAAACACATTTACTTATAATATACAGTGTGTCAAAAAAACAGTGTATCTAACTTCGGTGGATGATTCTACAGATAAAAATAAAACAAAAAGTTCCTATGAACATATGCCCTAAAATGCTTCCCGAAAAAATTGCAGCCCTCGAAAGGTTAAATAAAGATAATATATTTTCTTTATTTTTAAGAACATTGGTAAACCGTTTTTCTTGACATTTGGTACTCGTACACGCATTTTAATGCCAAAGCGAATTGCGATAGTGTAAAATTCCGTAACAGCCCTGAAACGGTGCGGTATTTTCCATTAGGGTAGAGAGTACTACTGTTGGTACTTTTTTATCCTTATAGATACAGTAATTTCAATAAAGGAAAATTAAAGGTAGGACTTTTTTATGTAAAAAAATGCTCTTCGTTTAGTTCGAAACAGTGAACGGTTTTCAAGATATTTGCGTTTAAAGATTACGATGCATCGTATATATTTATATACAGGGTAGCCCATCGAAAATGTTCCGCAAGGCATAACGGCCAGGGTATTTTTTTTCGGAAAATCCAAAAACACGCCAATTTTGTTTGTGAGGCGGACAACTTTTGCCCCAGAAATGATTGCAAAATCTTTAACCCTCTAAGCGGGGGTGTCATCCTCCAACTTTTTTCAAATGGGAAGGGGGGTCAAGTGGCACCGCAATCAAAAGAGCTTTCTATTCTCTATATTTCCCCGCTTCGTTTTTGAAAATCGGTCGAGTCATTGAGAAAATATGAAGGATTGAAATTTGAAAAGTTTATATAAACATTTATCAGAGTAAATGATAAGGATAAATTCCTTCGACCAATTTACTGTTTTTTCTTATTATTTCTAGATGTTTACGTATTTTTTCACTTGCCGTTCTGTGACTTGTGCGTTGAAGTTCTTCTCAATATCGTTAAACTTTTTAACAATTATGGTGTACTCACTTGCAGAAAAAGCGGATATAATCGAACTTTATTTTGAAAAATAATGAATGTGGCAATCGGTTTGCGCAGATATTCAATGAACGCCTTCCTGACAAACACCTTTGTGGCAAAATTGTTCGCGATTTAGTAGCAAAATTTCGCGAAACTGGGTCCGTTATGAATAAAAAGAGGTAGAGGGAAAATCCTGTAGTAAATGAAGCTATGGAGGTATTCGTATTGGGCCAGGTTGCCATGGATAGTACGCTGAGTACAAGAAAATTAGCCAATGAGAGCGCGACCGGCGTGAATCGTACAAGTGTCCAAACTATATGAAAAAAACACCAGTACAAAATTCAGTTGGTACAAGAACTCAACGAAGACGATTTTGATCGTCGCGGGGTGGTATTTTTGGAAATTCTATTTTAGGTCAGTTTAACGATATTGAGACCGCACCTGATCGTTCAACCTTGTGGCAAGTGAAAAAATGCGTAAACATCTAGAAATTATAAGAAAAAACAGCAAATTGGTCGAAGGAATTTATCCTTATCATTTACTCTGATAAATGTTTAAATAAACTTTTCAAATTTCAATCCTTCATATTTTCTCAATGACTAGACCGATTTTCAAAAACGAAGCGAGGAAATATAGAGAATAGAAAGCTCTTTTCATTGCGGCGCTACTTGACCCCCCTTTCCATTTGAAAAAAGTTGGGGGATGACACCCCCGCTTAGAGGGTTGAAGATTTTGCAATCATTTTTGGGGCAAAAGTTGTCCCCCTCACAAACAAAATTGATGTGTTTATGGATTTTTTCAAAAAAAAAATATCCTGGCCGTTATGTCTTGCGGAACGTTTTCGATGGGCCACCCTGTATAAATATTTTCTTCAGTGAAAATATTCCCATGTAAAACGATTTTACTTATATTTAGAGATTACTTATATTTAGACATTTTATTCTGAAGTAATGCAGAAAACTCTAAATAGGATTGCATTGCATTGTATTTTGAAAAATATGTTTAACATCTCTAATAGATGTTTATTTTGCAATTATCCTAGACATTTATTTTAGTGTCAGGATGTTTATTTTACGTTACATTAATAATTTACCAAAATTAGGCCAATAAGTCAAAAATGTTATTTTAAACAAAATAATAACCTTATATACAGGGTTATTTACAGTAATGCTAGGCTAAATGATTTGTGAATGGATTATTTGGAAATTTGTATTTTTGTGAAATGGCCAAACTGAAGAAACCTGAATAAAGTTTAAATTAATTATCAAGTATTTTATTTTTGCGTCATATAATTTGGCTTCAACTTAACAAGAGTATAACAAAAACTTGATAAAGTTTGGAATAAAGAAAATTGAATGATCTTGAAGATTGAAGATGGAAGATTGAATTGAAGATTGACAATTGAAGATTGAAAATATCAACCTAAATATACCACGTTATAATATTAAAAAATAGTAAGCAATGGATTTACCTTAACCTCTATGGATTTACCCTATGTAATTGTAACAGTTTATTTACTTTGAATATATACATCTGAATTAATTGGACATTCATAAGAGAAACTCTATTGTTTATATAAAATTAATACATTCCGCGAAATGTTGAATAAATATTTTTTTATTTTCAAGCTACTTGGACTGGAATAATATTATTTTCAAAAACTAAAAATAAAACTATTCTATTTATTTTAATTTCCTGGATTTAAGTTATAAATATTTATATACATTTTTGAAATAATAACATAGAAAGAGGAGTACGATAAGATAGCGTACCATCCTCAGGAGCGTATCATTTATTTTTAAAAATAACTAAAAAAAATCTAAAAACAAATACCATGAAATTTTTTTAAATAAAACTCATTTTACATATAGATTGCACCAAGTTATTTGCTTATACAGAGTGAACCAAAGTCACAGTATACGTATATATGTATCTCAATCTCGCTTTGGACAAATACACGTTTACCAGATAAAAAGTGTAATGTAATCGATACAGGGTGGCTGCAACGACCTCCCGTAATAATAGGTACTATAACAGCTGCTTTTTATATATAAAAACCAATGGTTTTGTTTTAACAGCAGGATGACCGGACGTCGTTGCAGCCACACACACTAGGTTAATTTTAGTTGAATATACAGGGTGTTTCCCAAGTGGTCTAAAAAATTATGATGTTATTTCTCATATGTTTTTAAGACGAACGAACATGGGGTTTAAAGTACTTTCTTTCTGATCTACAGGATGTTCAATCTACACAATATCGAATTTCTTGTTTGAAAATATTCGAATTTTGTTTTATTTGCCGATACTTTTTTAACAATGTAGATCACTTAAGTCTTAAGTTTTTCTTGTATGTCGAATAGTTTTCGAGAAAAATTAAATCAACTACATTGCATATCCCAAAATTGCCAGAGTACTAGCACACAGGAATATCAAGGAGGGAGTTTAGTTGATTTAATTTTTTTCTCGAAAACCGTTCGATGTACTAGAAAAACTAAAGAGATCAAATTTGTCTAAAAAGGATGGATAATCAAGAAATAAATATCTCACAAAACAATGGCGTACCATCCATTTTTATTAAATAGTAAAGGTGTAGCGTACGGACGCCAGTAGTTAATGGAAAAACTGCTTTTACACCTGGACACCACATTCCAAAAATGAAAAAAATATCTAAAATAGTTTCCGACATATTGCAAGATTTTTTTTTAATTTTAACACCCTGTAGCTTAACAAAAAAGTACTTTAGACCCATGTTCATACAAACTTTTTTTCTTAAAACATAGATACGAGGAATCATCCCTTAATTTTTTTTAGACTGCTTAGAAATCACTCCATATACAGGGCGAGTCTTAAATAAGTGCAAATATTTTTAGGGGTAGTATATTTCCCCAGAAACACGTCTATCAGGTTTTTTCGCGAAAAAAAAATTGGAAATATTTAGAGTTTTAAGGTAAAAAACATAATTTCTTGATAATATGGCTACATAGGTGGTAGATTAAATTTACAAGAAAGTAAACCCAGAAAATATCCAGTAGTTCTCAAAATTTAAGAAAAAAACCAAATTTGTTTTAAATTTTCAAAGTGAAATAACTCGGTTATTTTGGACTTATTTGAAACACGGTAAAGAGAAAATATGTTTCTTTTATCGAGATCTATTAGCCCTGAAAATATTTGCACTTATTTAAGACACACCCTGTATAGAGAGAGAGATTATACATAGTTACTGACTTACTTACTGGCATTACGTTTACGAATGTGCTGTTTTGTGTGCGGTACTACTCTGTATATTATAGGGGAGTCTTAAATAAGTTTTTTAATAAGAAAATATTTTGAGGGGTAGTATATTTCGACCCCAGAAACACGATTATATGAGGCTTTTTTCGCGAAGACAAAAATTTGTTTTTTTTTTTTCAAAAAATTTTTTTTTTGAAAATTTGGAATTTTTTGAATTATTTTTGCATTTTTTCTAGTTAAAGAATACATAATTTCTTGATAATATAGCAACATAGGTAGTATATTAAATTTAGTAGTACATTAAATTTTCAGAAAAGATCCAGTGGTTCCCAAAATGAAGCAAAAAATCATTTTTTTTTAATTTTCAAAGTAAAATAACTCGGTTATTTTGGACTTATTCGAAAAACGACACAAAGAAAATATGTTTCTTTTATCCAGATCTACCAGCCCTGAAAATATTTGCACTTATTCACTCTGTATACAGGGTGTCATTGAAATGGTGTAAAAAAAATCGGAGAGTGGTACTCCTAAAAAGGGTAAAAAAAGTTCCTATAAGTACGATAAGAACGAGATAAAATTTCGAAAAAAAATCCCCTGCCATATATTTTGACCCTAAATCAAATGGTGATACTGAAAAATTATTTGGAAAAGCGGAAAGGGTAGTTTGTGCAAGGGTAGGGGGTTGTTTCGTGAATAACTTTTTTGAGGTTACTTTTTTTGCAACGTGGGTTTATTTTTTGAAAACTACATACTTTTTCCTACAAAAAAGGTACTCTTGTTGCACACCGCCCAGAGCGATGGTTTTCGAGAAAATTGAAGGCAAAGGGTTTGCTATGACGGGTTGCTAACTGCTTAATCAACATAAACTTATGAATGTTATGGCGGTTCAAAAGTACCCAAGTAGTTATTAAATAATTAATTGAAAGATCAAAATTTCATGATTTTTAAAACATCTTATTGATTTAAAAACGAAATAATCTTTTTTGGTTTTAAAAAAAATTGGTTTTCTCAGTGCCGATTAATACTGAAGAGCAACTACGGCAACGCATTATTGACTGTTCCAATCAAATTTGGACAGCAACAAGGATATTGCACAGGGTACGCAGATCGTGGAGAAGAAGATCAGAAGTCTACATTGAAATGAATGGCGGTCACTTTGAACATTCACTATGAATGAATTAAGGAATTCATTATTTTAATCAGGAATTTTGGTAACTGGATTATTTCGTTTTTTAAAGCAATAAGATATTTTAAAAATCATGAAATTTTGATTTTTCAATTAATTATTTAATAACTACTTGGTTACTTTTGAACCGCCATAACTTTCATAAGTTTATGTTGATTAACCAGTTAGCAACCCATCGAAGCTGAAACTCTTCAATTTCTCATCGCTGGCGATGTCTGGCTGGAAACACTTTGTAAGGTAAACTCACGTTGCAAAATAATCTCAACATTTGATTTAGGGTCAAAATATATGGCAGGGGATTTTTTTTCGAAATTTTATCTCGTTCTTTAAGCCTACAATTTAAAAAACAACCGTTCTTTAAATTCACCCTTTCAGTGCCCCTAACTCCCTTAATATGCATTTTCCGCCCTATACTTATAGGAACTTTTTTTACTATTTTTAGGAGTACTATCACCCCCCGATTTCTCTTACACCATTTCAATGACACCCCGTATAGATATCAGATACGTAAATTGTTCTATTTTAGATATATGATTAAATTTAAACTTACCGAAGAGAGCTAGCAATAGGGTAAAAATGATGGCGAATTTCATTTTCAACGTTTTGCAAATCAACCAAGATTGAATACTGAGTATTTCTTTTTTGCTTTATATGTTTATATATTTTTTTGATAGAAAATGCTATGTTGCCAGTAGTTTAAATATTGCCGACTTTGCTAATATATGTTTTAATTAGTGTGATAACAACGATTTTTGGTGATATTTTTAGTACTTATTATTGAGTTAATAGATATTTTTGCTTATGGGCATAATTTACGATGAATGATAGAATTGAAGATGATATGTAATGAATGAATACCAATACACTAGTTTTTGTCTACATAAAAAATGGTATTGTAAATCAAAAAAAATTCTTAGTTATTATCAGTCATACAGTGGCACATAACTGTTTTCTGTTACGTATATTAATTTAAGTATTAGAATTACTAAATTATTAAATTAAGTATAGACTTTTCTCAAAAACAAATTGAACATAAAGGATATATTTCCAGGGGAAAACACGATAAACGCCATTTTACTAATTTTACAGGAGAACACTGGACGGTTGGTGGTTATCAGGTTCTTTCCGTATATTCTATATTTTTACTAGGCATATATCATAGGATTTAATAACTTATTACGCTGCAGAGTTTATACGTTTTATAAGGACCTGTTAAGACCTACTATAATGTTTTAAAATCCTAAAATTAAGAAACTGGCACTTATCAAGTTTTTCCCAAGGACCATTCATATGGAAGAGGTGCCCAAATATGGACCGCTATAAAATTAAACACTTCAAACTAATCAACACGTCAGATTATATATGAGATTATATTATTAAACACCAAACCAAATCAAACATGTAATCAATGCATTGTCATAATATAATATACAATATTATTTGCTATCACGTATACAGACCGGACCACCGTAGTAGTAACATAGGCAGAACCGGACGAATTAGCGTATACCCGTCGCCCGGATAAAAAGTAGGCGAAAAAATACGATAAAATAAAAATAGGTAGATATGTGATAAGAATGTTTCATAATTTGTATTTATTCGTGTTTTAATAGCCAAAACGAATACATAGATTCTCGCGACAGTTCTCATGTAAAATTTATTTTTTAAGTAAAATAATGGATGTTTACGAAGTTCGTGAGAAAATTCAAATTGTAAAATGGTATTTCCAAAATAGGTCATATCGGGATATACAAACAATTTGTCCACAAACTTTTGTAAACAGGGCAATTCTATCTTTACCTACTATATCAAGAGTTATTAATAATTTTGAAGACCGCTATAAAGACCGCTTTAAAGACCGCTATAATGTCTTTAAAGAATGGAAGAGCATGTGGCCCAGAGGGAGTATATGCGGAACTCATAAAATCTGGAAGCAAAAAACTGTTTAGAATGTTAACAAACATAGTTAACCAGTGCTTAAATGGTCATCCAGTACCTGAACAGTGGAAAAAAAGCATATATCTCCTCTATATATAAAAAAGGCTCAAGGAAGGATCCCAATAACTACAGGGGAATTTCGGTCACCAGCACTATGAGTCGCCTCTATGGAAGGATACTGAGGAACTTAATTGAAGAGGAATAATCCAGCTACGAAGAAGAAGAGCAGAATGGTTTCAGAAGCGGAAGATCATGTACAGATAATACCTTTGCATTGAAACAGATCATCGAGAAGAAATCTGCAATGAACCAGGAAGTTCATATAACATTCATCGATCTACAAAAAGCATATGATACAGTACCAATAATAAAATTATGGGAAGTATTGCACGAACCAAGAATTAACGCAGCTCTGATAAAAGCTGTACAAAATCTTTACCATGGAGGAAAATCACAAATAAAAACGGTCAACGGTCTCTCAGAGGAAATTTCTATCACTAAAGGGCTCCGACAGTGTTGCTGTATATCCCCAACACTATTTAAAATTTATATTACCAAGGCCTTATATCTATGGAAAAGAAAATGTAACGGAATGGGTATAGAACTAAATGACATATGCCTATACACCTTGCAATTTGCAGACCGACCAGGCCATAATTGCAAACGACAAAGATGACATGGAATATATGGTGCAGAAAATAATTGAAGAATATGCTAAATGGGATCTCACAGTAAATACAGAAAAAACAAAATACCTTCCAATTGGAGCTAATACAGGAAATCTTATTTTGGACAATAATATGGAAATTAGGGCATGTGAAGATTAGAGGTACCTGGGATCGATATTTACAGGAGACGGAACGGACGATAGAGAAATAAACAACAAAGTAATACATGCACGAAGAGTTATCAGATGCATAAATGGCATTCTATGGAGCACTGAAATTACAAAAAACAGGAAATATAATATATACGAGACACTAGTTAAAAGCATATTACTCTATGGATGTGAAACATGGCGACTCACTGAAAGGAATAAAAGGAAATTAGAGACAACAGAAATGGGCGCGATTAGAAGAGCAATGAGAATTTCACGGAGGGATCAGATCAGAAATGAAGACATTAGACAACAGATGGGAATAGAGGGAACAATAGTAAACGATATAGAACAAAAACAATTAATATGGTACGGCCACCTTCAGAGAATGCACAATGAAAGAATTCCAAAACAAGTCATTCCTTGGATACCACCTGGTAAACGAAAGAGAGGACGTCCCAAGAACATGGATGGAATGAATAAGAAGGTCGATGATCGAGAAAAATCTGACCGAAGATCAATGGGAAAATCGCACAGGGTGGAAGTTAGGCATCGGACAACGTCGTAGGACGTTCTGACCCGAATTTTATACATTAATAATTTTGAAACACAATGCGAAAACAAAAACACAGGGGGTGATTCCATGTTTTAAAATAAAGGGTTAAAGCAAGTTTGCTTCGTAAACGTTGGGTCAAAATGTCAACCATTTTGGGAATATCGCGGTACAAAGATGGCGGAAAAATAATGTTCTTTTTTGTGGGGTTATGAAAACCGAAAGAGATAGACTAATGAAATTTTAACATTACTGTTATGAAAACACACACTTTCTGGTAATTTTTTCACTTTTAAAATCAGTGGAAGGGGTTGAAATAAACTACTCCTATCATTTATTGTTAACGAAATTTAAAGAAAAAATCTTATAAAACACATGCAAAAAATTAATTTGGATAGTTTAGTTTGTTTAGAAACTTTTATCTCTTGTATTTTTTTATAAAACTCACCGATTTGAAATTAAAAAATAAAATGTAAAGCATTACATGTCAGGACTAAAAATATTTTTAGATTAAGAATCTAGTGATAATAATAATAATAATAATCTAATCAGATAATAACGTATTACCCAGGGTAATGTCAAATAAAACAATATTAGAAACATCCTAAAAAAAGTGACAGCGGCCGACTAGATTTTTTCCTAAAAAATTACAGCTGCCCACTAGATTCTTTATCTAAAATGTTTTTGTCCTGACATGTAATGCTTTTACATTTAATTTCAAATCGGTGAGTTTTATCAAAAAAAACACAAGAGATAAAAAATTTCTAAATAAACTAAGCTATCAAAATTTTATTTTGCATGTGTTTGATAGATTTTTTTAAATTTCATTAACAAGAATGATAGGGGTAGTTTATTTCAACCCTTCCGCTCATTTAAAAAGTGAAAAAAAAATTACCAGAAAAGTGTGTTTGCAACTGTAATAAGTCGTAATATTTTCCGTAAGTCTATCTCTCTCTTTCGTTTTCAAGATAAAAAAATAAAAACGTGTTTTTCCGCCATCTTTACCGCGATATCTCAATGGTTGACTTTGACAACGTTTATAAGCATAAACCCTTTATTTTGAACAAGGAATCACCCCTGACCCCTACATTGTTTTGAAACATATCTGTATGCTAATTTTGAAACACATGGGTGCGTGTCCCCACAAAAACACAAGAAGCCTGATGTGTTGATTAATGAAGAACAGGAGTTAAAGCAAGTATTTAACCGTTTAATTAGTGGATATGGAACTATTTTGTGGCCCGCTAGATCACCAGATCTTTCGCCCAATGATTTCTTTTTGTGGGGTTATGTAAAACCCAAAGTGTATGGTCATAATAGGGATAATAATCTGAATGAGCTTCAAGTAAAAATACGAGAGGCTTTCCAAACTATTAGCCCTAATATGTCAGCCAATGTCAGACGGGGATTTTATGACCGCCTATGCTTCTGTCTAGCACAAGAAGGTGGTCTTTTTCAACACTTGTTATAACTTTTTTTTATCTCTTTAGTTTTTTTGGGGTTTAGAGAATTTATTTATTTTTAGTTTTGGCTTGTAAACACACTCAAATAATAAAGATTTAAGTATTTTTATTTTAAATGTTACCTTAAGTGAAGGTAAACACTTAAAATGAAAATAATAAATACTCGGCACTCCTCGCGTCGTATTCCTAGACTGTCACGACCGACCCGTCCAAGCACAACTGCAACTGCGTACTGCCTGACTAGCCGACTAGCCGGCAATGAATCTCGAGTACGAACGCAAATTGGGTAAACGTAAATTCGTCCGGCAACTTGCTATGTTACTAGTAGCCTGGTCTTCTCTGTATACTAATATAGAAATACTTACTTTCTGTGTACCTTAAAAACTGTTCTCATAGCGTTAAAATATGAATGGATTCAATGATGGGAAGCTATTAAAAAGCACGGTCTTTTACAAGCATTCATATTAGGGATATTATTTTATATTTGGTTACTTTCCTATATACTTAATTTATTACAATTATCCTTAGAAAATACATATAGTAGTAACCAAGTTTTAGATTTTGTTTTGTAATTTGTAATACATCCATTTTCTCATGTAATTTTTGACATTATCATCCGTCAAGGCAATAAAAGTAAAAAGCAACAACAGAGCAAACGGGGGCCTAGAGCCAGAGTCGCCCTAGGGTGTTCCACGGCTAAGAGTATTGTGGCGGGTTGCTGTTGGCTACCTCCGCAGCTGTTCTGGACGAAGCCCACAATCCTAGGCGACTGACATAATCCTGACCTTCAACATCAACTTTATTTTCTTAAAGGCGCCATATTGGATCTAGGTGATTCATAGGAATTCACCATCTAGAAATCTAGGAAATTCGC